GTAAATCATTTCAGCCGCCATGTCGATGGCGACCAACACCCAATGATTCCTACATAACAATGAAACTATATGTAATTACAAAAGCAGCATTGTTTGCAAATACAAGTCACTTGCAAAAGAGATTACTTACCCGGTATTATAGGGGATTAAAGTCATTTGTCCAAGCAAGGAAATATCCAAAAGATCAGCTATGTATTGTGACCTCCTAGTAACCGCTTGGTGTGATGCCCTCTTTGGTATTGCTATGGCAGCAGAAGTACCAAACTGGACTGGCATGTCCCCTCCATCAGCCTCCATTTTCTCATGCAAGTACCTATTAAGTTATTACTAATCAAGTTGAATTAAGTTTATTCATTTTGATATTTATAATAAGATACTCTTACCGCTTTATACTGTAATACAATAATGATTTTAATGCAATTGAATGTAATATATAATAAATGGGAACTTATTACCTCGCCCAAATTTCAACAACTGAATTTGAAACCTGCTGAAAGTTGATAACAGAGCGGCAAACCTCCTTGTTAAACATAGTTTTTGTTTGGAATCCAAAAATTTCAGCATCTTGCTTGATGCTGTTCATCTCGCCTAAACAATTTTCCACTAAAATGCAAAACATCATCATGTTAGCACTTTGTTCCTTTCTTTTTTCAGCAACGGACCTGGTCATTCGTTGCACTTTTAGCTGGGACTTAGCTTTCATTCCAGTCCTTATCTCTTTCACAAATACCACCTCGCACCCCTGTTTTTGTTTTCCCTCCACTCGGTCATTCTCCATATTTGCTATTGACTGATCTTCCTCTTCATTCATATCCTGTATGTAGCATAGAGTGTGCATGTAATTTACAAACATTACTATCGTATTTAATCAAATAAACATATGCAACTAGACGTCTAACCTTATCATGGGAGTGAGCATTGGCTTGTCCTAAAGTATCCGTGTTTATGTGCTGAGGGGAATTTCTGGGAACGCTTCCAAATAGCTTCTTCCGATGACTAAATACTGGTTTCTCCACCTCTCCAACAGTCTATATCATAGAAGTTAACTATTTATTAATAACTATATCTCATTAAACATTCACTTAGAGATGTAGTTGTACATACCTTCTGCATTCCATGACTCCCACCCTCGGTTTTGGTTGCCTTTGGCGTGTAAAAGTATCGTGTTGGGGTAATGAAGTGCCCCAACCCCTGTACTCTACTGCCATTTGATTTTTTCTGAAGAGCAACTGAGAGCACATCATCGTCTCCACGAGGCACAAATGATCCTTCTTTCACCTTATTTTTGAGCTCCTTCTACACAAACAAACATGTTACATCAGAGCATTACTAGAGCATTACCAAATTGTGTCAAACACCATTTTTTTATTCTAAAAAGAGCATAAAACAAGTCAATTAATTGAACTCAGTACACTGGGAATTTTTTTACTAAAAGATGCATGTTCATATTCATAAAATTATTACAACCCTTACTATTTCTTCTGCAACTTCCAAAACCTCAGGATCATATCCACCATCTTTTCTTTCTCTTCCCAAGAGCCATGTATCCGCTCGATCAATGTCGTTGACATTACTTCCAAGTTGTTCTTTCTTTGAGTTTTGAAAACACAAAAGGTATATCATCTAAATACTCATATACACAATCGAATAATTTTAATAAAGGAAGATTAGAACAAACCATCTTTAAAAGTAACCCTCCATAACCTGTTGAACCTAATCGTTGATTATATATATTCTTCTTTCGAGTTTCACTTGCTTCTTTGCTTTTTTCCTAAAAGCATTTAACAAAATTATTACATATATTCACAAATGTTTCTACTTATATTAAATGCATTAGTAAGTTCTATCACCTGGAATTCTTCTGTGAAGCACCTCTTCACAAATATTCTCCATTCATCAGTACCAATGTGCTTATATTCATTTGGAGGTAAGCTTAACTTCTCGGGCTCATCCATGTGTTGTGCAATGAATTCAGTGTACAAAGTGCACCTAAAATTTTTATGTGCAGCTCCCATTGTTTGGAGTATATGTTTCTCTGAATTAGTAGGCAACACAAACAGATCCTACATCCAAAAGAACATTATTTTATTGAATGAATAATAAAAAACTTAAAGACTACAAATAAACTGAAAGAACTCAACACTTAAAGACTAAAAAAGTAATTGACAAAGTTAATAGCAGCTCACATGCATACAGTTTCTTACCTGAATATGCGTCAACATATCATTTTTCAACTTAAGCGGGACTCTTCTCCAGTCATGGTACACTATGGGCACATGGTCCCTGACTATAACCCCAAGGTAATTAGACAGTTCCGTCCAGCCCTTACCTGCTAAAACACCAAGCTCATTAACTTCCACAATCACTTTATGATCACCACTTTTCTTCAACATCATCTTCTTCTTTGTCTTTTCTCGCCTACGTGGCCTCCCATCCAGTTCATCCATATCAACATTGTCCATGTCTTCATTTTGATTCTTCATATCAAACTGTATCCTACATAATAACAAGATTATACATACAAATAAAGTTATTTTCCTTTGAATTGAATTACAAATAATACACAATTGAAGTAAAATAAACCAGAAAGTTATGTAAAAGTAATACTTACTGAAACGTAGCAATGAATTCATTCCAATTTTGACTAATTGGATTATTAATTCGCATCACAAAGTACTCTATCATAAATTCCATCATCATCGGGGGTTTCCAAATCAAGAATTTGTGTTGGGTAATGTGAAGTTAGGGGATCATGTATAACCATTTCATCACATCCAGCGTCTGCAACGTGACTAACCTTCTGACCAACTGAACAAACAACTGATTTTCTTGGATGAAGTTGATCTTTCACATAAAAAACTTGTTTGGCATGCGCGGCTAAAATGAAACAATCTTTTTTATGACCTATCTTATTTAGATCAAGTATTGTGAAGCCCAACTTATCTTCTTCTACATGCCTATTATCTACCCAGTCACACTTGAAAACCACTCTCTTAGTCATCAGATAGTGAAGGACCCAAATTTCAGTTAGAACGCCGTAGTAATTCAAGTCCGCTACAAGACTAACCCCACTATTTTGTGTAACACGGCTTAAATCCCGCTCCTTTGTAGCAAAACTAAATCCATTTATACTGTACCCAGAGTAAGTTGTCACTGTTGTGTTTGGTTTTTTAGCTAGCCATCTGACAGTTTTGTCCACATCAATTCCATTTGCAACATCATTAAGAACCTACAAATTATATGCTAAATATTCAGTATATTTATGTAACATTTTTAATATGATCAGTAACCATAAGTTAATAACGAGTAACCTTCTCTTCAAACCACTTAACAAATGTTCGATAATGCTCTATTTCAATACAACCATCATCATAAAATGATTGCAGCTCGAACATATGCTCCCTATTTTTTTTAACAAAAAGAGTTAGATTATATAATATACACAAAATAGACAAAACCGAAATAAACAATGGAGTGCTTACTTTATGTACGGCTGAACTTCGGGCGTATTAAATAGAACAGTACGATGTGCTTGCTCAAGCAATGAGCAATCAACTATTTTAGTGTCCCCGCGTCCTAGAGGCCTTTCAATTGGGTCATCATTATCAGAATGTGTAGGCAACCCAATCGATTCATGGTTGGAAATATACTCGGCACAAAATTCAAGAGCTTCCTCTACCACATAACATTCGGCAATGCATCCCTCAGGATGGTAATGATTGCGGACGAACCCTTTTAAGAATTTCATGCTTCTCTCAAAAGGGTACATCCAACAGAGAAAAACTGGGCCACAAAGACGCACTTGAGCAACAAGATGGACTGTCAAATGAACCATTATATCAAAAAATGATGGCAGAAAATATTGCTCAAGACAGCACATGGTGATGTGGTGACTGGACTCTAAATCATCAAGTGAATCAGGATCTAGGACCTTCTCACATAGTCTGTTGAAGAATAAGCACATACTAGTTATCGCATTGGTAACATTTTCTGCCAGTGACATGTTCCGAATGGCCAAGGGAAGTATCTGTTGCATCAAGGTATGACAATCATGAGATTTAAGACCTTGAAGGTGACTGTCATCATCAGAAACTATGCTTTTCAGGTTTGATGAATAACCATCAGGCACTTTTATTTGCAGTATGGTTTCACAAAATTTTTGTTTGTCTTTTTTGCTCAGGGTGGTAGGGTGCTGGAGGCAATGATTTGGAATTCTCTTTAGGAATTAAGTTTTTCCTAATGTTCAAATGAGCAAGGTCATCTCGAGCTCTAGGTCCATCTTTTGTTTTGCTCGATTGATCAAGAAGCGTTCCATAGATGCTCTCACACACATTCTTCTCTATGTGCATCACATCTAATAGATGACGAACCAATAAATGCTTCCAATACTCTAGATAAAAAAAAATTGATTTGCGCTTGAACAATCTATTGTCTCCATCATTGTGATCACGCTTTCTCTTTCTTTTGCGGTCCTTGCGCTTCCCGTTTTTGTAATTTATTCCTTCAACCAACTTAAGAACATCTTCGCCGGAGAGGGTTGCTGGAGGTCCCTCTCTCTCAACTTGATTATTGAAGACTTTCTTTAAATCTCTAAACGTGTGGTTTTTCGGTAAAAAGCGACGATGGCTCATATAGACACATTTCTTACTACATTTCAGCCATATTGAACGAGTGCCCGACCCACAAACTGGACATCCAAAATACCCCTTCACGGTGCTACCAGACAGATTACCATAAGCTGGGAAGTCACTTATGGTCCACATCAATATAGCTCTTAACCTGAAGGTCTCCTTTCTAAAACTATCGAAAACATCTACACCATCATTCCACAAGGTTTTAAGGTCATCAATCAGGGGTTCTAAATAGACATCTATATCATTCCCAGGAAGTTTAGGACCAGAAATTAAAAGAGATAACATCATGAATTTTCTTTTCATGGTCAACCAAGGGGGGAGATTATAAATGACTAACTGAACAGGCCAACAACTATACGAAGAACTAAGTGAACTGTGTGGATTTACTCCATCACTTGAAAGAGCTAACCTCAGATTCCTAGGATCTTGACTAAAATCAGGCCACATTTTATCAATGTGATGCCAAGCTTGAGCATCAGCAGGATGACGCAATTTACCATCTTTAATGCGATGGTCTGCATGCCATGTCATGTCTTCAGCGATTTTAGTAGACTGGAACATACGTTTGAACCTAGGAATTGGAGGAAAGTACCACAATACTTTCTCAGGAATTCTACTAGTAGCTGTTATGGATCCATTCTTTGTCTCTTTCCACCTAGACTCTCCGCACGTAGGGCATTTTTCAAGATCACTGTGTTGCTTATGAAAGAGGATGCAATCATTGCGACAAGCATGTATCTTTTGGTAATCCAAACCTAACACCTTCATTATTTTTTTAGCTTCATACATTGACTTGGGAATGGTGTTATCGGTGGGTAGTAGACTCGAAAGAGCTTCTAATAAAGCTGAGAACCCTTGATCAGACCATCCATATTTTCCTTTTACATTATACAACAACAATAATCCTGAAAGCCTTGTATAACTTGAACCTAAGTATAATGGTTTCTCAGCATCTTCAACTACATCCTTAAACCTCTTTGGGTTACCATCTAGTTCTTCATAAACATCGCCTAACATGTCACCAATTTCATTTTGATCATGAAAATTTGATTGAGAGGGATTAAAGGTTGGAGTTTTTGCAGTCTCTCCATGCCTAGTCCAAACAAGGTACGTTTCCAAGAAACCAACTTTTAACAAATGTACTTTTATTTGTTCAGGCTTATGAAATTCCATGTTACAACAATTTCTACACGGACACCTAATTGATCTACGATTTTCTGAGTTGAGCATAGAAAATTGTAAGAACTCATCAACTCCATTTCTGTATTCTTCAGACAACATGTTTCCATCCTTTATCCAAGACCTATCCATCTCTCAATTCCTTATAATTATTAGATCCCAACAAAATATTTAACATACATGCTTAAATAACATATGCAAACACTTGGAAGAAATCAGGGGGAATACTTTAACCAAAGAACTTTGTTCAGTTTAATGTTATTACTTTCATATTTTCTACACATTTTAATATTAACCAAAGAACTTTAGTTAACAAAACTGAAAAAATATGTTTAGTAACTTTGTTTTAGTCTATTTAGTTAACGTATTGAGTACTCTCCTAGTTTAGATAACAAACTAAAAAGATTTGTATAAGAACTTTGTTTTGAACTCACTGATAAACTAATAATGCCTTGAAAGAATAGTAGATTTCATTTTCATTTACAACTTTGTTGGACCAATAAAGAATCAAATTGTAGCAGGGATAGAGTAAGTACTCACAAGAAAATGATAAAAACAGGTCCGCCTTTAGAACTTTGGAGGCCCTAGATGAAAAAAATAAGATCAATAAATTATGTTAATGTCATCCTATAACAAAAAATAAAATATATATAGATATTTAGTTTGGTCTTCTATATTTTTTAGTGAGAATCACAAATCAAACAAAATAACTAATTTGCTATGATCACCGAAAGATAGATAAATATTTATATTGGATGGCACCATCCAATAAACTAAAGCTAAAACTACTTTATGTATTTACTACGTTATTTGATTTATCTAAACAAATTAAGAAGTCATGTTAAGCATGGCTGGGTCATTTCTTGTTGACTTAGCAGCTTCAGAAGCCGTGGCTGCAGTTCCACCTTCCATTTCAGACTGCAGTATATAAAAAAAATTATATGTTAAGCATATTAATTAACTTAAGTCTGAAACATACTAACTGTAAACATGTAAACATGTTGTACATGTAAACATATTAAGCATACTAACTTAAGCATATTAACTGTAACCAAGTTTAATATTAACTGTTAAGCATACTAACTTAAGCATATTAACTGTAAACAAGTTTAATATTAACAGTCAGTAATGTTGTACATGTAAACATATTAAGCATATTAACTCTTAAGCATACTAACATGTTTTACTTATTAACTGAAGTCTGAAACATACTAACTTAAGCATGTTAACAGTAAACAAGTTTAATAAGCATATTAAGCATATTAACTGTTAAAGTGTTAAACTGTAAACAAGTTTAAGCATATTAACTGTTAAACTGTAAACAAGTTTATGTGTATAACTGTATAAGCATTATAACCGTAAACAAGTTTAATAAGCATATTAAGCATATTAAGCATATTAACTGTAAACAAGTTTAATAAGCATATTAACTATTTTTACTGTAAACAAGTTTATGTTTCAGCATGTGTAAGCATGTAAGAAGTACAAAATGTTTATGTAGAGTACATAATAAGAGTCTACTGTGTTCATGTTTTACATGTGTACATGCTGAAAGATGCTTAAAAATGTGTACTTCACTACTTCTTAAATGTGAAAAAGAGATAGAGAAACATGTTTTACATACTTCTTAAACACATGTTTACAGAACATGTGAGAAGAAAAAAAACATATTGGTAGTATGTAAAGA